ACCTGGGGTTGTTCCTGCCCACATGCAGGACGCTTTAATTGAGGAAAATGCATGAAAATGAAGCCTGAGAAACACAACGTGGTTTTATCCGCGATGCCAACCCGTTGCCAGGAGTGGGGTCCCCCTTGGCCAGTTCTGGGGGCCCCTCCACCATCCCCCAACCAGTGGGACAGGCCTGTGCTGGGGCTGAGCGCAGGAGCCAGGCCTTGGTGTCAGGGCCTGGAGCAGCTCCGATGCAGGGGGTGCTCATGGTCAGGGCAGGACCCCAGCTCTCGAGAGTCCAAAGGGGCTGGCCAGGGGTATAAGGCCTCTGGGTCCCAGGGTGGGTGCGTTGGTTCCATCGGGGAGGCGAAGTGCCCCTCACCCGCCTGGCTCCCTGGGGAGACGTCTTCCTCTTGCGGGGCTACATCCTGGTGCTGAGGTCCACCTAGAGGGGCCAGATGGGAAGGGGTCAGCTCGACTGCACCCCTTCTGTCACAGGGATGGGGAAGATGAGGCTGGACACGTACTGAGGCCTGGCGCCGCTCCCTGTTGATGTGGACCACGGCGTCGTGCACCGAGGGGAAGAAGCAGTGCTTGGTGATGTCTGAGCTGAAGAAGTTGCCCCGCTCCAGCTGGGCGAGGACGGGCACTGTGTTGAGGGAGAAACAACCTAACCTATGGCGCCCGGCTGAGCCCACCGTTCCCCACCCAGAGCAGCCTCCCTCCCCCTGCACTGTGAGGGCACCAGGGACATCACCAGGGATCCAGCTGCCTTGCTGCAGCCTGCAGGGCTCAGACTGGATCCCTGGGACAACCTGCAGCACCTGTTCCCTGAGGCCACCCTAGAGATGGGGACGCCTGGAGGGCAGCAGAGTCCCAGGCCAGCAGCTGTGGCCAGAAGGGGTGGATGTGCCTGGCAGGGGCTGATGGCTCTGCAGAGCCTCCTCACCTGGGCAGCCAGCAACGTAAACGTCCACTTCTATATCGTGGAAATCCCTGAAGATCTGCAAATGGCAGAAAAAAACATTTTGCCCGGGAAGAGAGACAGGGAGCAGCCGTTGCACCACCACACAGGGCCCTGGGGACGCCCCTGGCAAGGCTGCTGGCAAGGCTGCTCCCTCAGCCGCTTACATTCTTCAGGATCTTGATGGAGACGGTGTCCACGAAGTTGACAGGGCTGAAGTCCAAGATGATGGCGTGGAAGCTGGGCTGGGGCAGCCCCAGGGTGCGCAGGGTGGGCTTGGGGGGCTCGCTGCCCTCCGCCCTGCTCAGCTCGATCACCGCCACGCTTGGACCGTTGTGGCCATCGTCTGCATCCTGCGGGAGGGAAGTAGACCCAGCCTCACTGCACAGGAGCTGGCAGGGTCCCCCCAGCACACGCTACCCTAGCCAGCGGGGCCTGGCGAGGCTCTTTGGCTGCGTTAGGGCACAGGCAGTGGATAGCCTTGGGAGTGGGTGTTTGCTCTTTGCCTATGTGTTGAGACGCACTCCCCTCCCCAGTGACCCTCTCCAGAGCCAGGCTCATTTGCTGGCGCCAGGTCAGCCTTTGCTCTCGCTCTTAATTCTGATTAACTCACCAAATAGCTAATGAATCACTGGCTCCACCACCTAATCATTAACGGCCCGGCTTTCCCCGCTGACCTTGGGTGTGACGCAGTGGCCTAGATCTGCCCCAGTGCCTCTTCTCACCCAGTGGCCCCAAACTGAACCAGGGGCCCCGCAGGCCACCAAGCCCAGGGAATGCATGGGCAGAAGGGCCAGGGCCAGGCAGGGACACAGCGCAGAGTGGCACCAGAGGTGTCCCCTGCGGCAGGGAAGCACCTTTTTCCTCTTGGCCTTCTCCTTCTCCATTTTCTTCTGCTGTTTCTTCAGCTTCTTGAGGGCTTTCTTCTTCTTCTCTATCAGGCGGTCCACATTGATGCCGCTCTGCAGAACAGTGCAGCCCTGTGTCCCCTGGCTCCCCATGGCCACACTGGTGCCAGCACGTGTGGTGCATGGGGAGCACCAGAGGGGGGCTGGCAGCTCTCCTACCTTCTTCTTCAGGGCCTCGGCGTACAGCTCCACGTTGGCAAAATAGAGGGTGGAGGAGGAGCGGAAAATCTTCACACCGGGGACCTCCTGTGCCTGGGGGCAGAAGAGGAGGGTGCTACCCCAGGGATGGAGCTCCCTTGTCCCCTTCCCTCCCCCATCCCCTTCCCTCCTTCCCCCCCCCAAAAATGGTCCCCGCTCCTTTCCGCAGTGAACAGCCCCCATGGGTGCTTTGAACTGCCACCCCCACTGCAGGCTCTTCTCCCACCCCTGGTGCTGTTACCATCTGGTATTCAGCCACGTCCCTGTAGACATCGGTGTCAGAGATGCGTCCCAGGATGGAGTAGTGAGGGCTGCAGGGAGCAGAGCAGGAGGTTGAAGTCACCGTGGGCTTCTCCTGCCCTTGGGACACGGCACCAGCCCCCAGCCCCAAGGTACTCACAGCTGGGTGCGGAAGATGACGGTGAGCAGCCCGAAGGCCACCGAGGCCCCCAGACCAATGTCCAAGTTCAGCAGAAGGGTGGCCACGAATGTCACAATCCAGACCATCTGGAGGGGGGACACGGTCAGCCCTGGCACGGCCTCCCCACCAGGACCTGCAGGCCTCAGGGAGGGAGGAGAAACCCCCTCCAGGGACAAGAGCAAAGCCCCAGGGACAGTCAGTGCCTCACCAGGTCCACCCGGTTGGACTTCCAGAGCGTGCGGAGGTCATTGAACTGCTTGAACATGCCCTTGAGGTTGATGATGATGATGGCAGACAAGATGGCCTAGAGAGAAGTCCCTGCAGCTGTGAGGGCGCTGAGGGGGTGGCCTCGGCTGTTCCCCTGCCACAGCACCTCGCCATGGGGTTGGCACAGGGCTGAGATGTGACACATCTCATCTGGCTGTGGGCCCAGATGTACCTTGGGCAGGTCTCGGAAGCGCTCTCCGATCTTCAGGATGGTCACCAGGATGACCAGGGATGCGATGACACCAGCTACCTGAGGGGAAGGACAGCAGGAGTGAGGGGTGAGTCCCCAACACTTGCTGTGCTCCTTGCCCCCTGTTGAGCCCCGTGGCGTGAGGCAGTGCCGCCCGGACCCACCTGGCTGTTGCCCCCTGTGCTCTCCTGCACCAGGCTCCGCGACATGGAGCAGCTGATGGCGAAACACTGGAAGAAGCCCCCCAGGAAGTTGCAGAGGCCCAGCGCGATCAGCTCCTGCAGAGACAGAGCAGCAGTGGGGAGCACCAGGCCTTCCTCTGGCTGCAAGAAGTCCAAGCTCGGTTTCCACCCAGGAAAGGGGCCCTGCATGTCAGAGCATCACCTGGTTGCTGTCCACTTTGTAGCCGTGCTTCAGGGCAAAGATCTTGCCCAGGGAGATGCAGATGGCGTAGCCCACCACGGCAATGGCGAAGGCGTTGCCCACCACCTGCCCAAAGTAGCTGACATTAGGGGCCACAGGCGGCTTCAACCTACAGCCAAGACAGGGAGACAGGCCTCAGAAGGGGGGTCCCATAGGCGCACGGTGTCCTGGTGCAGCCACCCTCACCGCCCGGCCCTGCTCACCCGCTGGGGATGTTGCCCACCACGGAGATGCCAAACTTGGCGTTCAGGTTGACGCCGTAGGAGATGCCGGTGGAGATGATGATCTGGGGGAGGATGGCTGAAGTGAGGCAGGGCCTTCCTGCACAGGGACCGTGGAGGAGGAGGAGGAGGGGACGCATGCCCTGGAGCTGCACTTGCCAAGGCCCCCCCATCCCACCCCTCCCACCCTGGAGGGGATAGGGCCATCCATGGCTGCAGCCCCACAGGGAGGTGGGGCGGCTCTGGGTACCGTGATGAGCTCGATGGGGATGGGCATGGGTAGCTTGGCAGCAAACTTGTGGTTGAGCTCTTTCACGATGAAGATGGCCACCATGGCAATGATGGCTGTCACCAGGGTGCCCACATTGGTCTGTGGCAGCTTCTTGCAGATCTCGATGAAGGTCTGAGGACACAGGAGGAGAGAATGGGCTCAGGAAAGCAGATGCCTCCCCAGCAGGTTTCTGGGGGCCTCTGTGGGCCCCACAGGTGAGCGCCTGGGGGTCTCTGGGCAACAGCAAACCCCCACTCACCACAAACAGTGAGATTGGCCCCGAGTGCTCGCTCAGGGAGACCCCAAAGACATTCTTGAGCTGGGAGATGAGGACGTGTACAGAGGCAGCAGTGGGGTAACCACGCACCAGCGGGTCCGAGAGGTAGGTCACCACGAAGCCGAACTGCAGGAGGCCCAAGGCCACCTGGAAGGAGAGGTGAGAGGAAGAGTGCCCCATAGCTCACAGCCATGGGGCACCACGGCCTCCTGTTTTCTGCCAGGCTGGGCTGGGCCCCCTTACCTGGAAGATGCCTGTCAGGACAGTGATGGTGGCCACCAGCTCCACCCTGGCGGCATCGCGCAGTTCCTCATTGACCATCGTGATGTTGGTGCCATTGACGGACACCAGGAAGTTCTCGCTGGGCAACAGGGAGTCTGTCAAGCTCCCAATCATGACGGAGATGACAGCAAAGGGGCCTGGGAACAGGCAGGGTGTGGGCAGGGAGCCCAAGGTCAGCACCAGAGCTTCTCTGAGGTCCACAGGCACTTGTCCCCGTGGGCCAGGCTCAGAATGCACCCACTGTGCTTTGGCTCTGGTTTGGCCAACCACCTTCTTGGTGGGCCAAATTAAAGGCAAAAAAGATCCTCCCCGACCGTTGATGTGACAATGCTGTGCTGTGGTTGCCTGCAATCCCCCCCCCCATCTTTGCTACCTCCCCACCATCCCTGTGGGAGCACGTGGTCCCCCAAGCTCACCCACGGAGTTGTGCCTGGATGTCCCAAAGAAGAAGTAGAGGAAGACGGGGTAAAAGGAGGAATAGAGACCAGTGACAGGCGGCAGCCCGGCCAGCAGCGCATAGGCGAGCCCTGGACATGGGAGAGCGGGGAGAAACGTCATGGGTGGCCCAGCCCCAGGCCCCTGCCTGTGTGGAGCCCCTGGCAGCCTGGACACGGCACAGGAACCTCGTGTCTCACCCTGAGGCAGGTGCATGATGCCCACGCTGAAGCCCGAGGCTATGTCCCCCAGGAGCCAGTCCTTGAAGGGGTAGCGTGGCAGCCAGCGCAGGAAGGGCAGGAACCGGAACAGCAGGGACTTGGCAGCGGAGGCCGAGCATCTGGGGGAGAAACAGCGGGAGCTGGGGCTGAGCACAAGCGTGGAGGCTTGGGGACATCAGCGGCGGTGGACAGGGTCCCATGAGAAGCAATGGGTCCTGTGAGACCCCTAGCTCCATCCACTAGAGCCAGGTGTCCATCCAGACAGGAGAACATGGGGAGGTGGGCACTTGGGCTTGGGAGAGCCAGCCCCCAGGTCTGCACTGTATCTGTCATGGGGACTGGGACAGCTGGAGCTGGGCTCCCTGTAGCAGCGGGGCTGGGGCGCACAGTGCCCAGTGGGGCCGAGGCACAGCCCCTCGTTCATTTCGGTCCTACCTGGTCTTTCGGAGACAGCCACGCAGCGAGGGCTCAGCGCGAGGTTTCCGCTGTGCCACTTCCTCCAGATCAGCCTCGCTCAGTGCCTCACGGGGCAGCCGGTGGCTCAGTGCCGTCTCCACCTCCATGGCCACCCGGCCCTCCCGCTGCGGGGAGATGAGGGGCAGCTCAGTTTCGTTCCCATTACTGGGGGCACCTGACACCCTGCCCACCCCACAGCCCCTCCAACAGCTCCGCTCACCCAGTGAAGCCATCCCATCCCAGCCAGGAGTGCAGGATCAGCCCCAAGGCCAGGCATGAGCTGGGTTTTTGGGAGTCCTGAAGCAACAGCAGCTCACCACGGAGTGTGCTCAGTGGCCGGTGTGAGGGCAGGGAGGGAGCTGAGGTCTCAGCAATCGGCACTGCCTGCTCCTGCCCTGCTCCAGCCCCATCTGCCCAGCTGGGGGGCACGGGTGGGGGCTTCCTCTCTGCCTGCCCACACAGGACCCACCTCGGCGCCCACCACCCTTCTCCTCCAGGTACTTCAGTGTGGCCTGAGCCGTGGGTCAGCACAGCCGCTGAACAAAGCCCAGCCACTCCACAACCCCGGCCGCAGACGGCACTGCCTGCTCCTGCCCTGCTCCAGCCCCATCTGCCCAGCTGGGGGGCACGGGTGGGGGCTTCCTCTCTGCCTGCCCACACAGGACCCACCTCGGCGCCCACCACCCTTCTCCTCCAGGTACTTCAGTGTGGCCTGAGCCGTGGGTCAGCACAGCCGCTGAACAAAGCCCAGCCACTCCACAACCCCGGCCGCAGACCTTGTCCAACCTTCCCAGCCCCCTGTGCTGCAGAGCGGGCTGAGCCTGTGCTCATGCAGGAGAGGGGCTGAGCTGGGGTCTCTCCCTTCACAGGGCTGGGAAAGTGGAACCGGGGTGGCTTCATACAGATCCCCAACCTGGCCTTGCTTGGAGCTCGAGACAGGAGCTGCCACCGTCCTGAGGGGCTCAGCCAGCTGGTGGCCCTGGCCGATCCCAAGATGCTCACCCTCTTGCAACCGGACTCCAGAGCCACTGGTGGAGTGCCCAGGGCTGTGCCAGCCCAAGCCCCTGCATTACCCCCAGCCCTCCTACCTGCTGTGCCTGAGTCAGTCGGGTGTCCCCAGCCAGATGCATGCTCTGCTCCCTCCTACTTATTCATACCTGCCCGTGATCTTTGAGACACCGCTCCCTGCCTCCTGCCCTCCCTCCTGCCCTGCTGAGGAGCTGCCTGCGCCCCAGCCCTGCTGCTGTGCCGTGCTCCCCCAGTCCTGTTGCACTGGGTGCCCTGACTATGACAGGCACAAGCTGTCACTGCTGTCCCCAGGACCTTCCCATGCTGGGGACTGTCCTGGCCAGCCTCAGCTGCTGGCTCACAGCCGTGCCCAGGGCATCGCCGTGTCCCAGCGCCTGTGCCAGGCGCAGGGCAGGGGTCTTCTTGCCACCGGAGACATCCTGGTGCCAACCTCCTGCCAAGGGCTGGAGTGCTCTGGAGCACTGGTCCAGGCTGCCCAGAGAGGTTGTGGAGTCTCCTTCTCTGCAGACATTCAAAACCCACCTGGACTTGTTCCTGTGTGACCTGGTCTGGTGATCCTGCTCTGCCAGGGGAGTTGGACTGGGGGAGCTTTCCAGGTCCCTTCCAACTCCTAAGATTCTGTGACTCTGCTCACCTCCCCGGGGCACTGCTCAGGGTCCCGTCACCCTTCTGTGCCCCCAGGACTCCCACAGGAGTGCCCCCGCTGCCCCACGTCTCAGAGCAGGAGCTGTGCCGGGGGCAAGGAGGGCGACCCACAGCCTCCAGCGATGGCATCCAGGGTATTTTCCATGGGCTCCGACCCCTGCTTACCTGCTGGAAACAGGTGTGATGTGCCCTGTGGACTGCCCCGGTCTACCCCAGTGTGCAGACCCAGCTGTTATCTTGTTCCAAAGGTCCCCAGCAGGCACGGGGTGCTGCTGAACTCATCACACCTTCCTGGGTTACTGCCATGGGTTTCGGAGCATCTCTGAGTCACGTTTGGCCCAGGCCCACAGGGACGCAGCAGGGGAAACCAGGCACTCGTGGGCTGGGCTGATGGGTGCCAGGGTGTGGGTGAAGCCGGTGGGCAGGACAGGCACTGGGGTGTCCCGGGTGTCCGGGGTGGGATGGGGCTGGAGTATGGCACGAGCGGTGACACCCAGGACTGTGCTCTCTGAGGTTGCAGAGACTTGTCCCCATCCTGGCTGGGGCAGGGGGCAGCCCATGGCCACTGTGGCTCTCGTGGTTGGCACAGCCCAGATCCCACAGCAGTCGCACGTGGACTCCTCGGCTGCCTTTCAGCAGTGGGGCTGAGCTTGCTCCC